TAAAATATTGTTCGGTTGTTTTTCCCGCCCCCTTTTCCGAAACATCGAATATTTGTCGGTTGCTTTTCCCTCTTGCTGCCGTTCCGGGATCTTTTAGGGCCCCCTGTAGGACGCCAGTCCACTGCACCCACCAGCACCCCCCGAAAGTGGCGGCAGTTTCGCAGATCGCAGCCCCCCCCCCCCCCCCAGGGATGGCGAGGTCCAATCTGAGCCCCCATAGGACGTCACTCTGCTGGGCCCCCCTGCAGCGCTCGAAAGTTGGCCCTGTTAGGGCTTATTTGGGCGCCAAGAAAGGTCAATAACGGCCCCAGGAGGGCCCCCAGAAGGCCCCCAAAAGGCTTTAAGATTGGACCAGAGAGACCCCAAGAAGGCCCCCAGAGCGCCCCCTTCCCTTCAGGTTTTGTGCAGGATTCCAATGGTTTCGTCAATATTCCTAAGGATTCCTGACGGAATCCGGAGGGATCCTGATCCTAAGGAACCCCAAGGACCCTAAGGAATCCTAAGGATCCGAAGGGATCCTAAGGAATTATGAGGAACCCCGAGGGATCCTAAATATTTTGTTCTTCTGAAGAAAAAAGAAGTACTTCTGAAGAAGAAAGAAGTACTTCTGAAGAAGAAAGAAGTACTTCTGAATATCACATGGTTGTAACTGGTCAAATTTAGGGTTGCAATTTACTTCGAACGGTTGGAATTGGGACCAGTCGGTTGTAATTCGTCCCATTTCGGGGGGAGGGGCGGGGGAGGAGGAGGGAAGGGGGGTTTAGGGAGAGAGGGATTAGGGGGAGGGCAGAGACGCAGGCCGGAGAAACGCGAGGAGCCACAACCACTGCACTTGCTTCAAGCGTAGCTCATGTTGGCGAACGCGGATTCTGCCGTGGTGGCGGCTCTTCGTAAGCTCTACCAAAATATGTCGGCCGATGTGCAAGTAGGTCCAGGCACAGACAGTCGTCGCTTCGAGGTGCAGCGGGGAGTGCGTCAGGGAGACCCTCTTTCGCCCGTGCTGTTCAACCTGGTGATGACGCAGGTGCTGGGTGAAGTTGACGCTGCATGGCAGCGACGAGGTTACGGCACGGAGGTAGGGAGAGCGGTCGATGGGACGCGCCTCGCGCACGTTGCCTTCGCAGACGACATGACGCTCGTCGCTACATCCTGGATTTCCTTGAAGCGCATGGTCGTTGCCGTGCGAGATTCGCTGCTGAAGCGCGGCTTGAAGTTGCACCCCACGAAGTGCAAGGCGCAGACGAATCGCCCCGACGTTCGGCAACGAGGCGACGTGGCTTTGGCCAACGGTCTCTCGCTGAATGTGTTGTGGGAGGGAGAGCCCCTGGAAGTGCTCGGCTCGATGCTTTCGCTCACGGACGCGACCAAGGCAGAGTTGGAGCACCGGGTTGCGATTGGGTGGAGGAAGTTCTGGGCCATGAAGCGGCTGCTGATGAATGCAGATACTTCCCTGTGCAGGAGACTGAACCTGTTTGACGCGGCCATCGGCAGCAGTGTCTTATACGGTGCTGGATCGTGGACGCCGCGCGCGGACGAGACGCGCTTTCTGGCGACAGCAGAGAACGGGATGTTGCGACGAATATGCGGCATTCGTCGTCGTCTTGAGGAGCCATGGCATGAATGGATCCGCCGGGCCACCAGCCGCGCGCGGGCCAAGGCGCGCGCCGCGGGCGTGCGGGACTGGCCGACAGCGCACGCAGCGAGGAAGTGGTCCTGGGCTGGGCACGTCTGCAGGTCAAGCGCGCGCACGGGGGCCTGGAGAGTGACGTTCTGGCGAGACTCCGCGTGGACGGCGGATGCACGTCGCGAGGGCTCGGGCAGGCTGATGCGGCCATCGCGCCGCAGACATATGAAATGGGAAGACAAACTTCGACAATATGCAGTTTATACCGGCGGGGCTCGCTGGGCACAGATGGCAGGAGACAGGGCCGATTGGCTCTCCAGAGCGGGAGACTTTGTGACGTGGGCGATAGCTTAGCTTGAATGACCGGCCCTACAGTACAGAGCGCTTTGGGGTTTGCCCTCCTCCTCGTTCCCTTCCCTCTTCCTCCTCCTCCTCCTCGTCCTCCTCCTCTTCCTCCTCCCTCGTCCGGCGTCCAGCCGCGCCCACTTTGCTAGCATCCCAGTTTCGTTTTTCGCATCCTCTGGCCTGCGGCCGGCGCAGGGGGAGGGGGAAATATGTCACCTTCTGCGTGGTCTGTCTCTCTTTCAGGCCACGGTTCACTTCATGAGTTTGCCTATCGCAGGTCGGCTCTTGGGGTGCTCCTGGTTTGCCTGGCGAGTCTCTGAGTCGCATAACATGTCGTTCGCCCGTGCCCGTGGGTATACAAGCTCATGGGACGTGGGGACCGTCTCCACCCCGGAGGCCCTTGCCAGGCCCAAGCCGGACCCAAAACGATAGCGGATGGGCCGGCACGCCGGTTTTTAGGCGTCGTATCCAAAGGTTGTCTGTCTTCTCGCGTCGCGCCGCGGCCGTGCGGCGCGTGAGGCATAGCGCGAGGCCGGTTTGGGATCACCACCGGCCCTCATATTCTCGCTGTTTGTTTTTGTTTTAGTTCCTGCATGCGCGCCCGCGCGACGGGCCTCTCCGGAGATGCGCGCACTTGCCACACTTGCCACTTGTCAAGCGTAGCTCATGTGGAATGGCACAATTCTCGGGTTGGCCGCCTCAGGCTCGTTGAGCACTACACGGAATTACAGCAATCGCATGTGAACAGCTGGCTCAAGGTGGCGCATGAGCGGGCTCAACTTCGCATGGATCTTCGTTGGTGGCCCCATGGTCTTGCGTCGTTTGGTGTGGTTACACCTGACATCGAAGAAACGCTTTTACTCCTTCGGCCTGAACCTCGCCCCCTTCTTCCTGAGCTACGGGACTATGGCTCGCTTGTTGCGGATGACTTGCGCTCTCGTGCTGATGAGTTGACTGTGGATATCTGGGAGGTGGAAAGCGGCAGCGGCTATCGCTCAGGACGTGACGGCGCTCGGCCACTTGTCGGCGCTGCGGGAGGTGACCCTCTTCCTCCGCGCTTCCCTGGATACCCTCAGTATTGGGCACTTCTGGATCGCATTGGTATGTGGTCCCAGAGATGGGTTCCGAGTTTGCTTGTCAGTACCATCGGCAGCGACTTCCAGCAGTGGATGGAGTGGTGCGTTCCCTACACGGCGGACACGTTACGCTTTTACGGCTTCAGGGATATTATGTTGTGCCCTGCTAGTACGATGACGGATGCGGCGAAGCGCTGGGAGCTCGCCATTGAGCTCTGCTTGCATGGGTGGTATCAAGGCGCTATACCGAGGGATCGGTTTCGTCAACAGCTCAGCGACCCGTGGCCGCCCAATGAACGTCGCCGTCTTGCAGCGTCACTGCGCCAGGGGTTGGCGCACCTGCGGCAATTGGATTGGTGCCCTGATATCTCAGGGGTGCCGCCTGGGGCGCGCGAGAATTTTCAGCTGGTTCGCCGTACTTTCTTTTCTGGTCCTGCGAAGGCTGCGGCCCCTGATCTGCTCCTTCTTCCTCACCTTCACGAGCGAGCCCTTCTGGGTGCAGCGGCTGCGGTTGGCTCCGCCCATCTGCCAGACGAAGACAACGAAAGCGTTGATGCGGGCGGCTACCCCAACCCAACCGATGAGGACATCGAGAGCACGGTCGAAGCCGCCGCTGTCACGGTGGCGCCCGAACCTGGTGGATCGCCACCGCCCGAGTACGAGAATGATACAATGGACGCTGGAGAGTTTTCGCATCGCTTCGGCCCCATCCTCACCGACGAAGAGTTCGAAGCGCAAGTACAACTGATTTTGCGCAGGTCTCGGGAGTTTTTTCAGGCGTGATCAAGGCTGTGATGCTGCGGCCTCTTCGTCGGCACCTCCTGCGGCTTCGGCGTCGGCTCCCCCAACTCGGACTTCACCTGCGCGCCCTTCTTCGCCAGTGGCTGCCAACGATAGCTCTGATGATGAGTTCAATCAAACGATGGCTGCAGCGGCCTCTTCGTCGGCACCTCCTGCGGCTTCGGCGTCGGCCCCCCCAACTCGGACTTCACCTGCGCGCCCTTCTTCGCCAGTAGCTGCCAATGGTAGCTCTGACGATGAGTTCAATCAAACGATGGCTGCATTTGGGTTTGGCGTTATCTACCCCGACGGCCCCCTTGGTGGGGCTCTTCGGCCTTCTGCGGCCTCGTCTTCACCTGCGTCTGCTTCAACGTCGTCGCCATCCAAGCCGGCGCCTCTTGGCGCGTCCGTGCGGGGGGCGCTCTTGAAGAAGGATCTGGAGCACCCTCTCACCGCGACGGCGATGATGAGCGCCAAGCTTTGCTACAACTGCGGGCGCTCCAAACTGTGAGTGCTCTAGTTCGGTCCGTGATTATGGCGGCGCAAGGGGGTTCTTCTCCCCCAGCGGAACCTGGGGGTGCATTTTCACCTGCTCAACTTGTGGTTGCTAAACGGTATCTGGATGACAATTACCAACTTTCGGCAGAGGAGCGCGAGCTCGTGGTCTGGATGTTACACAACCCAGGTTCGCTGTTGGAAGGCGACGCAGAGGGCGATCCCGCTCTCCCTGTATTCGACGACGAGTTCACGTTCCACGATGACGGAGAGGTGGGGGTGGACGAGCTCTTGATGGCACAGGCCGAAGCGGAAACTTTGGAAGTGCCTGACGCGGACGCTTGCAGCATGCACGATGTTGAGGACGATGTCGGAGAGGCACATGAAGGTCAATATGCTTTCAATCAACTAATGGCTTCGCATATTATCGCCGCCACGGTGGGAGAAGCGCCTTCTGCCGGTGCGGCGGCAGCGTTCTTGAAGAGCCTCTCCCCGAAGGCGCTGGACTCCATGGCGAAGGCGCTGTGCGCCAAGGTGGTGAGCTTCCTGCGGGTCAAGGACAGGATGGTATACAGCCGCCTGAGCCTGCTCCTGTCCACCCTGTACCTGGTGCTGCTGGTGATCTCCCACCAGTGGAAGAACTTCATGACGGAGAGTCCGTCGCTGCCGCCCTGGTCGAGGTCGGCGGCCTCATCGACACTGAGCTGGCCGACGGCCGTCTGGCCCCTATTGGCCGCCAGGCATAGCAGAAAACCGAAACCCCGACGCAAACTGAATCCATAGTTTCCCCGATCCCGCCTTCAAGCGTGAACGCGGGCGCGTTAACGGCCGAGTTGCCGTGGGCGCGCCCGCGCTATCGGCCTGGTCGCCGTTAACACGGCCATGTTAACAGTTATTCTTAACAAAACCAATGAACAATCAGTGATATTGGACGCGGCCCAGAAGCGTGGGCACGGGCTTGTTCACGGCCAGCTGCCGGGCCACACGGCCGCGTTCGCGGTCAGGTGGTCGTGAACGCGGCCTCTTGGGACCATCGCGGGGCTTTCGTGGGGCCATGTTGGAGGTTTCCCGGCCCCTGTTTGCTGGTGGTCTTTTGAGGCCCTGTTGGGCTTTTGGAGTCTCTTGGGGCCATCTGCATCCCACCAAGTGGGCGCCATCTTCCATCCCACTAAGTGGGATAACCTCCAGGGCGCCATCTGTCCCGAGAATGCGAGACCTCGCCAGGGCGACTATCTCGCTCCATGGGATAACGCGCGGGGCGCCATCTTCAATCCCGCTCGGTGGAGTAGCAGGCTTCCCACAGGGCGGTGCGCTCTTAGGGCGGTCCTGAGGCCTTCCTGGGACCCTCTTGGGTCTTTCTTGGGCTATCCTGCAGCCATTTTGAGGCCTCCGCAGCCCGTCGGACGCCGAAGGCGAGAAAACCAAACACATTGAAGTGTACACAATGGTCTTGAATGGTTTGGGCCTCGTTGGGGCCTCCTTGGGAGGCTCGGAGGGCATTTGGAGCCGTCGTTGGGCGGTCTTGAAGGCGCTTGGAAGCATCTTGGCAGCTATATTGAAGGATCTTGGGCTACCTTGAGCGATCTTGGGGGCCATGTGGAGCTCTCTGGATCTCTCTTTGCGCCATCATCGGGCCATTCTGGGCGTTTTAACTTATCGCGAAACGCCCCGTCCAGACCCAGGGGGAGGGGGCGCGGGGAGGAGGTCCCATGGCAGAAAACAGCCGGCCCATGCCAGAAGCAGCCACTTGGAGAGTTGGCGTGACCAGGGATGCGCAGCCGCATGCAGCGCAGTTCGAATCGCATCCGTCTTCGTACATTTTGTCGAATATAGATGAGATGGAGTAGTATGGGAGATAATGCATCGAGGGGGAGGAGGAGGGGGCGAAGACTCTAAAGCGAGCGCGCGCCCGCGGCCGCGTCGGCTCAAGCGGGCGGCCGCCCCAATATGACTGCCTCACTGCGAGGCGCACACTCGCTATCGAGACCAAACAGATTTTCCGATTGCTTAAGATGGCACATCCTCTCCTACTGGGACTATCGTTACTATCTGGTGGACTACGGACATGCTGAAACATCAGGGTGCAGTGGGTTTTGCGCGGAGGAATATACATAGCCACGCAGTGCCGCAAGGGCGCTTGCAGCGATTCGTTTTTTCAAGCGGAGTTCTCCTACTTACATCCTACTTCCCTGCGCTTCTATCTTCCTGTAGTTCACCCACCTACTCCAATTGAAAACTGCTTTGAATATATAATGCATGGAAGCATGCGATGCGAAATACTGCCGCCTACGACCCCGCGCGACTTACGACTACCCAACGGAAGTCCCAACCGACAACATTCGACTACGACCTACAAGGCCATTGGATTGGTGTTACCATCTTTGGGCTCACATGGGTCGCTATCGTGCGCGCGGTCGGACATATGCGCGGCGGAGGCGGTGCGAGAACGACCGGCCTTCATTGGGGCCCAGTCGGTCAAGTACCTTTTCGCGAATTCGTCCGCGAAGTACATGCTTGGATCTATGTGACCAGAGGTAATATGACGCCCTCCCAGAAGGCTGCAGCTCTGCAGCGAGGTGTGGGAGGTCTCGCACGGACCATAGCCATGAGAGTCCCTCCAGCAGCTATTAATTTTGGCGTCAACACAGGTTGCCGGCACATTGACGGCGACACCTACATCACGTTCCTCTTAAGTACGAAGTTCGAGAACTTAGAAGAGGAGCGCCCAAACAACTCCTGGTACGGCTCTCATTGATTTCCGAGTCCATGCGGGCGAACTTATCGACCATACGTTAGCACGGTTTGAGATAGTCCGATATGAAGTTGAAACAGCCGGCTTCAACGCCCTCTACTTCCAAATCCTAACAGCGATTCAAGTCACAGCCCCTGGATTGGGGACATCGCGTGCACAACAGTTCTTGCAGCTTCGAAGAACAACAAGTTTACGCTCTACTTGAACGCGCGAGGTCATATGCTCACATTGCTGAGAGACCCCCCGGCAATATTGGTGGTATTCTCAGTTGTGGTCACCGAACCGAGACCTTCCACGTGGAGGCTAACGCAGGGCAGCCTGCCAACAACGTCTGGAATGGTGATCCACAACCAACTGACACCAGCGCACTGTTGGCAAATAGTGGTGGAACGGCCTCGGCGTCGCCAGACTCCTGGGCCAGGCTTCTGGGGCCGCCCGGCGCGGGCTCCCCCATGGAAGCCATGGCCCTACTGGGCTCGGCGGGGCAAACCGCCGAGTCCGACTTCGACTCCGGTACTGATACAGATACGTCTTCAGATGACGAAGCTACTGCCCTTGATTACTCTGCAATGCCTATGCACTTTACTGAAAAACAACAAGCTTATTTTTTTTGACGATCAAAAACGCCGGCGTCGCTGCCGGAGATTCGCCACGAAACCAGTCCGAAAAGGCAAGGCGCATCGCCCGACGGTTTCGCAGGGGAAAAGGCAAAGGTCGAAGTGAAGGTGCAGGTGAGCGTGGGCGATTGCATGGTAGAGGCATATTTGCATTCTTAGCATCTCCTACTTGACATCAGTATGAGGAACTGTTCTTAGATGCTGGCAGAAATCGCAGGCATACATCAGGCAAAGGCAAAGGACGACGGGGGAGCCCAAAGGATGCCAACGGTAAAACTATGGAGTGCGACATATGCCACAGTGCACAACATTCCCGACGCGAATGGCCTCAAGGTGATGGAAGAGGCAGGGGCCTGTCAATACAGACTCCGACATGCAGTCTGTTCACTGGGAGTCACTTTTAGCCGGCCCCGCCGATGCTTCAATGGTTGCCATATATCTCAGCGCCAGTATGAACCTCGAGAATTGCGCCGACGAGCTGTTCGAGGAGGTGTTCTTTTGGCCACGGCGACATCGATTTGGCAGAATGGCTGGGGATACCCATCGCGGGGCAACCTGCAGATATTGAGTTTATCGAGAACTTCCACATGCCCGCTGAGGGAGATTTTGGCATGGCCGGGGCGCCCGCGGATGCAGAATCTGCAATTCCGGCGACGGACAAAGAAATGCAGGCGATGCTCTATCCTCGGGCGCTTGGAAGTCCGAGAGACATGGAATTCATCGATGGTGATCCTCTGCGGGGGAACCCACGAATCGCTGGTGATCTATATGAGCGCATTCAATATGAGCCTGGTCATAATGGAGAATGTCAACGCACCTCTGCTGCTCCAGATCGCCCCATGAGCCTCCAAAAGCGATCGACAAGCCGCCCAGTCTGTAGGAAGAAGCATTATCGCGACGGCGACGAGGACGAAACACGGGAAGATAGCGACCGCATGACGCGCCGCGGTCGGGTTCCCAGTCGCACGCCAGATCGCGCGCGCGCCCGCTCCAGCGGTGCTCGCTCTAGCGGTCGTCAGCGCCCTCATCCTCCTGACGCGGGGCCCCCGAAGGCCCCGCCGCGGCGGGCTAATAGACTTGGCGCCCCCCCAAGGAGGGGGGCGCCTGCGGGGGCGCCCGCCTCAAGATGATCAGCCGCGAGAAGAAGAACGTCGCGCAGGGGGGATACAGCGCCATCGAGGTTGCGCGGAAGCTGGATTGGCTCGTCAGTACATGCCCCCATATCAGATGCAATACTGGTTGGATCAGTGTGGGATGAGCACCAGATCCGGCACTGGCATTCTCTTCGCAAGCTCAAACGAGACGAGGGCGGCAAGATCATCCGCTCGAAAAAGGGCCGGGCCAGTAACATCATAGGATAAGATGGTCACGCGCAACATCAAGAGAGCTGTCATCGAGGAACGGAAGATTAATCGAGGTGTTTGTTGCTCGTGTTTCCAGTGTGCCGACCGCAGGCCTGGGCGCCCAATGAGACGCCCATCAAGTAGCCCGAACTTTTGAAGGACACCGTGAGTCTGGTCTCATGGTGGGGGTCGGGTTTACTGCGCCGATCCTAGCGCAGCGCCATGTGATGAGCAGTTGACGGGGAAACATTACGACCGCGCCACAGCTGGTGAATCAGCCCGCACAAGCCTCATGAGGAGTACTTCGGTAGTTACTCACTACTTGGCGCAGTTCAATCGCGATTGGCACGCGCGGAAGCCTGCTGCTTACAATACCCCCAAAAAAAAGACGAACAACATGGAGCTGATGAAGATGAACATGATGAGATGGCTGAAGAAGTTGATCCCGCGGATGCGGCCCCTGAGTGGGCACGAGTCGGACGATTCGGGCATTGCGGGCGCCGCGTGTCAGACGAATGATCCGATCGATCCCAGGTACGTTGTTACTGAGAAGATGGATCTCTCCCCTGAGAGGCGGATTGCTTACCGTGCTGAAGGTGTGGGTTGGATAAAGACAAGCATAGTCGAAAGACGCAGCGCTGCCGCATGCCGTCTCACAGGCAAACGCAATACCACCATTAAGAACATGGCCCTCAGGTCACCAGGTGATCGCGATTTGAACCCTGACCGAGGTCCCATACGTTATGGCCCAAGGGCACCGGCAGCGGCCGCGGCTAAGGCAACTCCTAAGCCGCAGCCAGAGGCGCTCATCGATATTCTTGCATCTTCGGATTCATCAAGTCCATCGCTTGGCCCTGACCAGTTCAGACCTAAAAGAGAGAAGAGGAAGAGCCCAGATGACCCTAACCCTGGAGACAGCAAACAGCGATCTGCGGGGCAACCTGCTGACCGACAACGATCCAGAGGAC